TGACAGAATCGGGTAACAGTCATCAGAAGGCCCAAAACAAACAAACAAACAAATAAATAAGCAAACAAAAAAGCCCATTTAAAAAAAAACCCATTGCTGTCAAATCAATTCCACCTCCTAGAAACCCCATGGAGCAGAGAACAGAATTGCTTCTCGGGTTTCCTTGGCTGCCGTTTTTTGTGGAAGCAGATCACCAGGCCTTTCTTCCGCAGTGCCACTGAGTGGGACTGAACCTCCAATTTGGGGTACAAACCTCCCAGCAGCCACAATCCTCCCAGTAAAATGATGTATAAAGTACTCTATCCTTTCCACACTGATTGGAAATGGTAATTTTATTGTCCAATAAATACTGCATCATATATTAAATGGAAGCTTTTCCATAAGTTACATGCTCGTTCATATCCTAAAATTTGGGCTCTGGCATTAGATTTTTTATTTTGTGTCCTCATTACCACATTGTGTTAATGCTTTTGTCTTTCTAGTATATATTAATATCTGTAAAATTAAATATGTAACTAGCCCTTGTAATCTTTTTCAATATTGCCTTCTTTTTTGTTTCGCCTTGTTTTGCATTTAAGGGAAAGTGTGGAGTCCTTTGCCAAGTTCCGCAAACATCCCTTTAGGTTATTGATTAGAATTGTGTTAAATTAACAAATTAATTTAAGGGTTATTGACATCTTCAAAATATAATTATTTCAGCTTAAAACTATAGCATGTCTCTCTGTGTATCCGGGTTTCTTTTAAGTACATCAGCAAGTTTTTGTTTTCTCTACGTCTTGCGCATTTTCTGGTGGCTCCTAGGCATTTGGCGTTTTTGTTAAATCGCAAATGGGATTTTGAGGGATTTTTGCTATTTCAATATTTAGAAAAATACTGGTTTGTGTACATTTTGTAACAGGTTCCTTTACTGAATTAATCTGATTAGGTTTGCTTGTTTTTTTCAGTTTATTTTTAATTTCCCAAGTAAGTAACCATGTCACTTGCAAAATATTCATAATAATAATATGAGAGAGACTAGTTCTGTTTCTTCTTTTACAAGTTTACACTTTCTTTTTATTTTCCTATTATCTTGACTAGAGTAAATTCTTAGCTATTATCAACTACACAGTTCTCTCTTCTGGAATTACAGTGTGTGTGTGTGTGTGTGTGTGTGTGTGTGTGTGTGTGTGTGTGTGTG